TTTTTTTGCATTCACTGCTCTAGAAAGCCATGACTGACATTGAACAGCTCTGATGTGCCCAGAAGGTCAGAGAGGTTCATTCCATCTGGCTCCTGGGGTGGGACCAGAGAGCCATCAAGTCAATGTTGTGTTTGTGCAATGTAGGCAGATGACTAAACTCATTTTGAGTGACACAGGCTGTCAAACTGTCAAACAGACAGGCTGTCATACAGATTGATCAGGGAGCACAGCTGAGCTGCAATGGGCAACAATTCAAACCAAGATGGCCAGCTAGTCACTTTAGACTTCTGTGAACCTGACAAAGCCTAGAGGTGACTGTGGCATCAGGATAGAGTGACACAAGCCCATCTTAGAGTTATAGAATCATAGAGTCACGTGATGGTTTGAGTCAGAAGGGACCTCACAGATTATCTAGCTCTACCCACTCTGCCACGAGCAAGGAACCTTCTACTGGACCAGACTAGAAAAGTCCTAAGTTTCATACAGGCCTTCTGTAAAAAGAGACAAGATCTGAAAGCCACACCCTTAGGAACTGCTTTTAGTGTCCCAGTGGAGCAGACAAGCCCTAAAGTTGCCTCGGTACAATGGCTGCTGTTTCTCCTGTAACCCAAGTACAAATTAAGCTGTAGGTGGACCTTGCAGGTGAAGTTAAAGCACTCAGAAAGAGGTTTGTTTTGAGAGTTTAGAACATTTTATAGGCCTTGTTAAATTAAACAAAATAGCGTAAGACATAACTTTAAAACCTTGCCAAAACACAAAGGTTTTTAAGTTTCCTTTTCTCCACTTTTACTCTAAATGTCCCCACACTACACACCTTCTTGACACCTCCACTGGGTGGAAGCTRGTGTGTGACTCAGTTGGGCTGGCAAATACAGAAAAAATGCAAGTTTGTATCACTCCTCCTCTCATTGGTCCCAGCCCTGGCTGCTGGTATTGGCAGTACATCTTTCCCAAGCCAAAGAGAATTCACACTTTTTCCACTTTCCAAGAAAAGCCCTAGCTGTATGTAAAGTGGCAATGATTACATAGGAATATTTGGGGACAGGGGAGAAAGAAACCAAAACCAAACTTTGTTTCTTCTCAATAAGATCTTTCAAGCTGTAATAGGTACTCAAAATATCACATCGCAGAAGGACTGGGTACCAACTGGAAAGTTATTTGTAAAACATTAAGATCTGCTAAGTGTATTGCCTCTTTATTATTATTTATTACTTATTCTTTGAGGATAAAGAATATTTTTTTACAAAACACATCACATTACAACCTCATTCAGCCCAAATGCAAAAAGATAAACAAACCTGGTTGGACCCAGTGCCCACAGTTGCAGCCATGCACAACCGGTTTCCATGGTAACCAAAGGCCGAGGATGTTGCCTTGCATGAGACCGATACCTCCCATGGAAAGCTGAAGCWAACAGAGGTATGAATACCAGCTCCTAGTCAAGGAGAAAATATGCTCCACTCAAGAACTGATTTACCATTATGGARGTGTTTGAATTCAAGTCAGTGAGTTGTTTACCCCTGCTCCATTTGCCACACTAAAACTGGCCTTTTTTCGTGATTGAAGAAGCACATTGAATGCTTTCAAGCTTTTATTTGGTTTTTCTTTTAATATTCCATATTTTCATTGGTGTTGAAAACATTCAAAATCAAATGTCAAGAGTTTGGTGTTTTCATGTATTGCCTTCTTTCTTTCCGTTTATGAATTGCACATTTTTAAAACTAAAAACTTTTAACAGACTAAAAGTTTTAAACTTTTAGCAGACTAAAAGCTTTTTCTTTTTTCTTTTTAAATTTTATTTTTCCCTTCCTATTTTTTTTGCCAGCCTGGAATTGCTATGAAATACCCTGAATAAAGATGAATAGAGGCTATCAAACTAAGAAAAAAAGGAGAGGAAAGAACTACTTTCTGTATTTCTGTTGCTTTGGAATTAGAGATTTTAAAAGAACAAAAATGGCAAAAGAAAAGAAGAAATTAAAATTAAAAGGAAACTTCTGTTCTTTTGTTAGTCTTTATTGCAGCAGATAATAAAAACAGGTTTGAAGAAAAGGTATTTTGTCAAACCTCCAAAAATTTAAGAAAGTACAGAACACCATGAAATTCAAATCACCTTGACATTTACAGTATTTTGTGACTTTTTTTTCGTAGTTTTCAACCACCACTAGCTACAATATTACTCATGTGAAGGCAGTACTTTATGTTTGGAAACACATGCAAGCTTTCTGAGTATTTTCTTAAATTATAAACAGACTTTTAATATGAAATAGAGGCCCTTTAATCATCAACTCATAAAAATAGCTAACAGATTTCCCTTTAGAGAGGAAGTCAGGAATGCCTGCATACTTTATTTGGAAGTTATTAAATACCTGACAAGAAGCTTACACCTGTCAAAAAGGTGTAACTTCACATGACTAAGGTTTGTTCACTGTTGGGTTTTTTTCAGAAAATTGAATCCTTGTTGAATGTTTTCTCTTCAAG